GCCTTTGGGGCCGTCGTAGACCATCTTGAGGCCATCTTGGACCGTCTTGGTTGCATCTTGGAGCCATCTTAGACGTCTTTGAGACCATCTTGGCTGTCTTGGAGGCATCTTGGAGGCCATCCTGGGCCATCTTGGCCGTCTGGGAGACCATCTTGTGGCGCGCGGGTGCGGAGGAGCCGAGGCCCCGGGGGACGGAGCGCGGCGCGATCCGCGGGGGGGCCGCCCCGCCACTCCTCTTGGCGCTGGGCTTGGCATGGGGGCCCGAGTGCGCCGCCGAGTGGCGGCGCCGCGCCCCCCCCCTTGGAGCCAGGACGGCTTCCGTCGGGGGGGGGGGCGGACGAGCGGCCACCCGGTGAGCCGCAGCGCCGAGGGCCCCACGGGCCCCACCGTCAAGCCCCCCAGAGGCCCCACGAGGACACCTCGGAGCTCCCGCAGGCCCCCCAAGGGGCCCCCCAAGATGCCCCGAGAAGCTTTTCCCCCTCCGCCTCCGCACTTTACCCCTCTTGTTTGACGGAAGCGCTGCGGAGGCGGCTGGGTGAGCTCGGGAGGGGCCTGCCGCGGGTGGCGGGAGCTGGAGGCGTGCTCCCAGTGTCGACGGGGTGGGGCCGGTGGGGCGCGGAGGAGAGCCAGCGGGCCTGGCCTGGGGGCGGCGGCGGGCGCGGCGGCCCCCCACTGAGGGAGCCTGGAAGCCCGCCTAGTGCCGATGAGCTCCGACGCGAGGGCGCGCTTCGCTTCGTGGCCCTCATGACGCCAGCCTTGGAGTCGTTCGTGGTCGAGCGCATCAGCGAAGGCCTCCAGCAGGCGAGGCTCCACCAAGATGGGGCCATTATGCAAAAGAGGCTCCCCGCGCGGCGTGGCGCGGGCGCAAACGCACGGGGTCCCCAGAATGGCCCTCATGCCCTTGACCTGCTTGACGAGATGGGAGGGGGGCCTTGGAAGAATGCACGTCGCAGCCCGTAGACAGCCTGGAGGCAGGGAAGCGCGTGGCCGGGTGGCCTTTGAAACCCAAGGCACGACCCAAGAAGCTGCAGAGGAGGTCATCGCATCGGGATGAGAGCGGGGGTCAGCGGAAGTGGTGCTCTTGTGCCAGGGAAAAAAAGCGCCAGAGCCCAGCCTGCCGACACCCTAGCTGCACGCAGCAGGTGGCCACGAGCGTCAGGGAGAGCTCTGCGATTTGAGCGCCGGCGAAGCCGGCAAAGGAGAGGGAAGAGGAGGCCGCGGGGCCGAGCGGAGGGACGGCCGCCCCGCCCCGGAGGCCGAGCGGGGGAGCGAGACCGCGGTGGAGGACGCTGCGCGGCACCCGGGCGGGCGACCCGCACCAGGTCGCGACCGCCGTCGGGGGTCGGGGGGGGGGGGGGGGGCGCGCCGCCCTTGTCACGTCGCGGCCTAGAGCGCAGAGAGCCGCTGTGGCCCGCCAAGAGCCCACTGCGGGCGCGCAGGGGGATCGGGGCGGGGGGAAGGGGGGCGGCAGCACGCCTCCCGCGGTGGCAAAGTGCTGCGGGAAAGGCGCCAGGAGCTGGGGGGTCGGCGTCGCGCACCTCGCCGGGCTCGACGCTGGTGTCCCCCGCGGGCCCGTTCCCGAACAGGTCCCGGATAAGGAGCCGCCAGACAAAGCGGTGGGGACGCAGCTCAGACCCCCTGCGGGCAGCCCTTTCCGACGCTCCCTGGCGATTGCGTGAACCAGCTTGCGGAGACCGTCGCGGGGGAGTTCGGGGAAGTTGGGCGGGGCGAGGGTGGCGTCGGGCGGGCCGGAGGCAGGAGCTCCCGAAGCTGACTGGTTGGGGTCGCGGGCCCCATCTCTCAGGAAGGCCGTTGTCCCCGAGGGGAGGACAGCCGCAAGAGATCCAGCCTTCCGCGATGAACTGTCGCAAAGCATTCACGGGGAAACCATCCCCATGGACACGAAGGTTCGGGCACGCGCCCGAGACCAGGGGGATCAACTGGCGGGAGCCATCGGAGGAGAGTTTACAGAGGCAACATTGCAGATCGATCAGCGCCTGCATGCAAAAGACCCGCGGGCACCAGGCGGAGGCAGGCGGGCGAGGGCCGAGAGCAGAGGACCCCCCACCGGCCAAGGAGCCTCCACCGGAGCCAGCCCTGCCCCCGTGATCGCCAGCGCCCGCTCTGCCGGCGCTGGCGCTCCCACGCCGGGATGGAGCCCGAACGCGGCGCTGCCCGGGATCGGCGCTTTCCCGGGCAGGTGCGGCGGCGGGGGAGGCGGCAGACCCAGCAGGGCCCGCCAGCGGAGGCGAGGGGGGGGGGGTCGGTCGGCGTAGCCTCCTGGCCGCTGGTGGTCCCGCTCCCCGCCAGGGAGCCGGCCTGGGCGCCCGCGCTGGAGCTGGCGCCGGCCAGGGGCGCTGAATGTTCCACGCGGTCCTGCGGCCCGGGACCCTCGGGCGCGGAGGCGACCTCAGCGTCCGCGAGGACGAGGCAGACCTGGCAGAGATTGGGGTCGCCGAGGGGGCTGGCATGCAGGAGCGGCTGAAGGTGGTCGTTGAAGACCTGGAAGACGCGGTCGTCAGGGCCCGACTCGCTCCAACCCTGCGGGGTGATGGCATCCCGCCGGGCGGGGTCATCCAGAAGATCCGATCTGGGCGCATGCATCACGACGCGAACGATGGCCTTGAGGCGCCCTTCGATTGCGGTGCGAAAATCTGCCAGGTCGCCGGTGGACACGTCAGAGTAAGGAAGCGAGCGCGGCGTCCCGGAAAGGCCTGCCATTGGCGTTGTAGGGGGCAGCAAGGCCGAGGAGGGCCTCGGTGTAGTCCCCTGCGTTGCTGAAGTCGCCTACGGGAGGGCGAAGTCGTCAATTTCGCGGAGGGCGGCCATCCTCAAAGGCACCAGGCGAGCTGGGCGGGGCGGTGGGCGGGGGGAAAAGCGCGGTGGAGGCCAGTGAGCGCGGTGAAGGCCAGTGGGAAGCGGGGAGGTAAGCAGACGGCGCACTAGGTCGTCAGGTGGGTCCGCAGCGTGGAAAGGGTAGCGACAAGTTGCGTCCGTGAGGAACCTGCCACTGAGGCCTTCGGTGGAGCTCCCTATGGAGCCACAAAGCGCTTGAGGGGTGTGCCGAAATCGGCGGGGGGACGCATGCGAACCCTGCCACCGGGGCCTTCGGTGGAGCTCCCTATGGGGCCACGAACCGTGTTAGGGGTGTGCCGAACTTGGCGGGAGGACGTATGCGAACCCTGCCACTGGTGCCGTTCGGTGGAGCTCGCTACGGGGCCACGAACCGTGTGAGGGGTGCGCCGAAATGCGCGGGAGGACGCATATAAACCCTGCCACTGGGGCATTCGGTGGAGCTCCCTATGAGGCCACGAACCGTGTGAGGGGTGTGCCGAAATGGGCGGGGGGACGCATGCGAACACTGTCACTGGGGCCTTCGATGGGGCCACGAAGCGTGTGAGGGGTGTGCCGAAATGGAGCAGGATGGAAGATGGAGTCAGCACGACTGAAAGCAGGATGGACGGTAGAGGGGGAGGAGGAGGAGGAGGAGGAGGAGGAGGAGGAGGAGGAGGAGGAGGAGGAGGAGGAGGAGGAGGAGGAGGAGGAGGAGGAGGAGGAGGGGGGGGCGGAGAGGAGGAAGGAGAACGCGGGTCGCTCTCTCTTCAAAACGAGGACCCAATACCACAGGATGGCTGGGGGAGGAAAGAAAAAAAAAAAAACGAATACGCTTCGATTGCAAAAACAAACAAACACAACATGTGCAATTCTATCTGGCGAAAAATTCTCTGGTGAAAAAACATGGAAGGGGGGCACTTCCGGACGTAGTCGGGAGATGGAGCAGAGTAGCACTCATGCGGATGAACTGCAGAGCGGAGGAGGAAGGGGAGGGTGTGCCTTGTCGCGGGGGCCTCGGTGGAATGGCGCCCTCCACCTTGGCACCGAGAAGAAACCCTGGATAGGCACACACACACACACACACACCGTGCATTCTTGCGTGGACGTACGGCCGACACGCCTGGCCCCGGTGGACACTTGTCCCAAAGATGGACCAGTGCCAGGGACGCGGGTTCAAGCAGGAGGAGGAGGAGGCACAGGAGGAGGAGGAGGGCAAGACTGGGAGGAGCAAGAGGAGGAGGAGGAGGAGGAGGAGGAGGAGGAGGAACAGGCAGCGCAGAATGGAGAAGGAAGAAGGGAAGACCTCGGAGGGGGAGCAGGAGGAGCAAGCCAGGAGGGCGGGGGAGTCGGAGGGCACTGAGCGCCTCGCGCTTCATTCTCCCGGCGGCACCTGCGCCCCGGGCGCGGCCAAATAATCCGAGAGAACGGCGGGCAGAGCAGCCGGCCCACGACCAAGTCCGCGCTGAGCTCCAGAGCCGCGCGCACGGCCGTCCTCCTCCCCCTCGTCCTGCTCCTCCTCTTCCCCCTCCTCCTCCTCTTCCTCCTCCTCCTCCTCCTCCTCCTCCTCCTCCTCCTCCTCCTCCTCCTCCTCCTCCTCCTCCTCCTCCTCCTCCTCCTCCTCCTCCCCCTCGTCCTCCTCCCCCTCGTCATCCTCCTCCTCCTCCCCCTCCTCCTCCTCCTCAAAGGTACTCTTATCTCAGGGTCCCTCCACGCCGCCCAGGGCGTCGGGCCCTTGCATGTGTTCTGGTTTTGTTGGCCTCCTGTTGAGCAAAAAAATAAATCGAGGGCATAAAAAAACGCCCCTACCCTGGTTTACGAGGCGCTGTGCGCTGAAACTCCTGTGGGCTGACAGGGTAAACCCTGCGTGATGTGCCGCGTCCTGGCGGCTCCAGGCTTTGGGGGTTCCCAGGAGGTTTACAGACCACGCACTTGTAACCCAGGGTAGGGTGTTTTTTTTCATCCCTCGAAAAAAAGCTCCCCCCCTGGCGCATCGAGCCCAACACGCGCTCACTCTTACGACCGAACTCCTGCGTCGCTTGCCCTCCAGGCGCGCTTGACTCCAATCAGCAGTTCGAGCAGGAATGTCCGTGGCGCCTACCCCATTGGGCGCCACCCTCGCCCGCCCCGCATCCCCCACCTTCCCGAGGCGCCCGCCCAAGCGTGGGGGCGGATCCGCGCGACAGCGCAACTGGAAACCCCGCTACATCCGTGGATCGTCATCCTCTTCCTTGACATTACCGCCTTTTAACACCCTCTGCATACTTCAGCACTGTCATCATCATCATCATCATCATCATCATCATCATCATCATCATCATCATCATCACCATCATCACCATCACCATCACCATCACCATCACCATCATCATCATCATCATCATCATCATCAGCAGCAGCAGCAGCAGCAGCATCCTCATCCTCATGATCATCATCAGCATCATCATCAGCAGCAGCAACGCCACCGTCCCCCCCCCCCACCACCACAACCCTCATCATCATCATCATCAGCAGCAGCAGCATCATCAACACTATCTCATCATCATCATCATCATCATCATCATCATCATCATCATCATCATCATCATCATCGTCATCATCATAATCAGCATCATGTTCATACTCATCATCATAATCATCATCATCAGCAGCAGCAGCATCATCATCATCATCACCATTATCAGCATCATCATGTTCACCTTCATCTTCATCATCATAATCATCACCTGCAGCATCATCATCATTACAATCAGCATCACCATCATCAGAATCACCATCATCATGATAATCAGCATCGTCGTCATCATCGTCATCATCACCACCATTATCATCTGCATCATCATTATCGTCATCGTCATCGTCATCGTCATCAACATAATCCTGACCATCATCATCATCAGTACCATCATCATAATCTTCATCATCGTCACCATAAGCATCATCGTCGTCATCGTCATTGCCATCGTCATCGACACCAACACCAAAGCCAACACCATCATCACCATCATCACCCATTCCCGCTCATCGATTGACCGATCGACCTCGCATTTTGGAACCGCTGTCTAAGAGGAGGTGGAACGATTGCTCGAACTACCGTCTACGGTCTCGCGATGACTGCTTGTGCCCCCAATGTTGCCATTCTCCTCCTTCTCGGCCTTGTCGGCCTCCTCGACCCCCTCCTCGTGTTCCAAAAAGGCCGCGTCCTCCGGAAGCCGAAGCAGCACTTCCGTCTTTCCCGCTTCTGCAACCTCAGCTCGACCTCCGAGCCCCCGCACCTCCGCGAACCAACCCGCTGCCCTCTCCCCTCACTGGAGGCAGCAGCGCAGCACTAGTCCAAGCATGGGACTTCTGCGCTGGGAGGATGACCAGCCAAACGTCGCTTGACTGCACGTGATGGCTACTGCCATTTCTTTTCGCAAAGCGCAACGCCACATTGGAATACCGCAAAATGCGCCGGACGCCCGCATGAGGAGGAATGGCAGCGCGCCGTCAACGTTGCTTGGCGCCAGGTGGCAAGGCCTGCGACTTCGCAGAGCCACACTCAGGACCGCCCCGCCCATCCACTTCCCCACTCCCCCCCACCGAATGCAGAGCTCCTTCCCCCACTCTTCTCCTACCCTATCGATTTCGCATTCCTCCTCATTACCCTCCTCTGCCCTGCTCATGTTTGTCCTCCTCCTCCTCCTCCTCCTCCTGCTCCTCCTCCTTCTGATCCTCTTCCTCCTCCTCCTCCTCCTCCTCCTCCTCTTACTGGGGCGCAGGCGACGCGCCGTGGGTTCATTTGGCAGCGGCTCTAGACACTGAAAGAACAGCCGCCGCGGCCGTCTCTGCAATGGGCGGGGCGGGGGGGCCAGAAAGTCATAGAGCCAGGAATGGAAACAGCAAACCACGAAGGTCGACGAAAGGCCAGAGGAAATAGAGAGAAGAAGAGAGACCACGCCCCAGTTCTCTGCAGCCTGATTCTGTGGTCCGCGAAGTCAGCGCCGGTTTCTGCTAGCAACTCGCTGGCAGCGGGAAGCTCGGCCGGCCCCGATTCTTTGAGAGCTGGCGAACTCCGGAAGCCAATGCTTGTTTCTCTGAGATCTTCGATCGTGGGGCGGCTTCTCTAGAAATCAAGGCTGTAGCGTTTCTGGATGAGCTAGACGATTGGGCGGTCGCGCTCAGCCGCTCTGAAAAACTGGGCCCACAGGGGAAGCACGCAAAAGTTCCCAACACTGCTCTCATCAATGAAGCCAGGCATATCACACAAAGCGGACCGAAGCCTGGGGCCACCCCAGCCCGAGACTTCAAACAAATTGATTCATGGCAGAGCGCAAGGCGTAGCTTTGAACGCCACGGCCAAAGCTTCGCGTTCTCTCTTGGAGGGGTCGGTGGAGGGGGGGATGAAGTGGGCAACATAAGAATGAAGAGGGACCACGCGCAGCGAGCACGGGTGGGCGGCCACCGCAGGTGGGAGGCGAGCTCTCACGATCGCAATGCTTCTGTCTAAGTGTTTCGCGAGTGGAGACTGTCAGGAGTCCCAAAAAACGCCGGCCGCAGGATCAACCCAAGATAGGTCAACTGATCGACCCAGAACAGGACCCATCCAGGGAGGCTCTCGTCGAATCACTTCTGATAAGTAGTTCTGACTTAGCGAACGTGTCGCAAAGTGGAAATGAAAAAATTGGCGCGTTACAAGAGCAAGCCCGCAAACAGCTCTGCACAGGAGAACATCTGGTGCAGTGTTTTCATCGCTATGGTATCGTACACTACGCTGCGTAGGTCGCCTGCACAATGCCTGCAACAAGATCGAACTTCTGCGAGCGCAACCGTGTGAAAGCAAATGTTGTTCGCTTCACGTCTCCAATGTTCCCATCGGACATGGCAAGAACAAGGCACTGCTCGCCGTTAAGCCGGTTGCATCCGTCAAGAACATGGTACAGACTCACGCTGCATGGCCGCTGCTGAAGCTGTCTAACAAACACAGGGACGAATGTGTTATCAATTATTGATGTTGGCATCTTCGCATACGCATGCACACCGCCAGCAACGTGCGAGCTAGGACGACGACAACGAAGACCAGCGAGGATGATTGTGGCAAGTACAAGGACATAGGCTCGCGGGGTCGATTCCGAGAGGGTCCGCGCAAGTTTCGAGGCTGGATTCCCGTCCCCAAGGGAATGCGCAATCCAAGAGTCACCCTGCATCCCTCAGGCCCAACCCGGGCCTCTGCAATCTCCGCCCTGGCAGCCTCCAGCTCGGCTCGAAGCCCTTGCTCGCGCTGGGCGGCGCTGGCGAGGAGGCTTCTTGCAAGGAGCCCTCAGCCCGTCGCGACGGTGTGGGAGCGCCCTGGCTCCAATTCACAAAGCATCGGGCGGATAGACCATGCCCGCCGCCCGGGGCGAGAGGGCGGGAGGATCACACCTCCCTCGTCCCTGCCCCTCCTCTCCTTCCCTCACCTCTCCTCCCCTCGAACTTCCTTCCTCCTCGCTCTTGTGTAGGAGTTCCCCCCACCCCCTCTACCAAGCTCCCCTCCTCCTCCGAGGAGGTAGGGAAACTTGCCCAAGCCATGGAAAGGAAGGGGCAAGGAGGAGGAGGGAGGACGGAGGAAGGAGGGAGGAGGAGGGAGGGGAGGGGGAGGGAGAAGGGCGGGCATGGAGAGGGGAGAAGAGGTGATAGGGCACGGGGGGGGGGCAAGGAGAGGCAAGAGATGGCAGGAGGGGGAGGGAGCGAGCGAGGGGGACAAGGAGGAGGGAGGAGGGGAGGGAAGGAAGGGAATAGAGGAGGGAGGAGAAGGGAGGAGGGGAGGGAGGAGGATGGAGGAGGGGAGGGGAGGGCGCGAGGGGAGGGAAGGAAGGGGATAGAGGAGGGAGGGGGGAAATGGACACGGAAGAAGCACGGTGGAGGGAGGCCAGATCTGGCAGCAGGGGGGGAGGATCTCCCAGGTGGTCACAACGATCGATGAGCAAGAAATAAACGAAGGCGCAGGGCAAGGGCAGCCACTTGCCACCCTTATGTCTTTCTACCTCCTCCCTCTCCTCCTCCTCATCATCCTCCTCCTCCTCCTCCTCCTCCTCATCATCATCATCATCATCATCATCATCATCATCATCATCATCATCATCATCATCCTCACCCTCATCCTCCTCCTCAGCACCATCATCATCATCATCATCATCCTCATCATCATCCTCATCATCATCAGATGCAGCATTACCAGTCTGACATCACTCTCAAAATCAGCACCATCCGCAGCATCCTCATTGCCACCGTCATCTCCGTTGTCGTCGTCATCGTCGTCATCGTTACCGTCGTCAACACCCCAATCTTCGTCGTCATCGTCGCCGTCAGCATTTACCACAGCAGCATGCTCCTCATCGTCGCCGCTATTTGCGATGTACGGATGCATGTCGGACATGTGTCACACTGCATCGCCATCGCCGTGGCCGTCAGGGACTGCATTGTCAACGCCACCGTGAGCAGCAGCAAACTTGTCGTCACCATCAACCGTCATCGTCATTATTTGCGTCATCGCCAGCGTCATCGACACTATAAGTGCCATCACCATCATCACCGTCAACGACATCGATGCTCTCCCGCAGCCTTAGCGCAAACCTGGTCTGCGACTGTGAGCGCGCTCTCTGCTCGACTTCGGCATGTGGCCGCGAGCAGCATTGCCGTGAAGCAATATGGACAGGTCAGCTCTCTCGGTAACTCTCTCTCCCTCTCCCCTTCTGTCGCACTCAGTATCTCTCCTCCTCCCTCTCTGTGTATCTCTCTATGTATGAGTGTAGTCTTAGGTGTAGGCATACATATGTATGTAAGCGTACATAGGTGTACTATTAGATGTAATGTCATATATAGGCATACACCTTTCATGTACACAAATACCTATGTACATGTATGCATATGTACATGTATTAGATGTGTCTCTCTGCCCGCCACCCGGTCTCAAGATCCCTTGCGATACCCTCTTCCCGTCCCCCAACCCTCGTCTCTCCCCCATTCCTCTCCGTCTTGCTCTCCCTCTCACTCTCTCTATATGTCCCCCTCCCGCTATTCCTATTTCCCTACCTAGGCTCTGCCTAGAAAGGTTCTTACTTTATAAGCTTAAAGGGGCCGGGCAGTGGAACTCGCCCCGGGCGGTTCCCCCAGTATCCGCCTTGCGGTTCCCCCAGTGACGTTCCCTTAGCTTCGCGTTGCTTATCTCATCTTAGCTTAGCTTATTCCCTACCTAGGCTCTGCCTAGAAGGGTTCTTAATTTATAAGCTTAAAGGGTCCGGGCAGTGGAACTCGCCCCGGGCGGTTCCCCCGGCATCCGCCCGCCCCGCGGTTCCCCCAGTTACGTCCACTTAGCTTAGCGTTGCTTATCTCATCTTAGCTTAGCTCATTTCATCTTAGCTTAGCTTAGCTTCATATTAGCTCAGGTTTAGCTTACCTTCATCTTAGTTTCGCTGAGCTTTAGCGTAGCAGAGCACAGCAGAGCATAGCATAGCGTAGCATAGCATAGCGCAGCACACCATATCATAGCATAGACCAGCATAGCATAGCATAGCGCAGAATAGCATAGCATAGCATAGCATAGCGCAGCACAGCACAGCACAGCATAGCACAGCATAGCATAGCATATCATAGCAGAGCAGAGCATAGCATAGCACAGCAGCAAAGCAAAGGCAGAGCAACAGCAGCGACAGCAAAGCAAAGCACAAGCAACGCAAAGCAGAGCAAAGCAAAATCAAAAGCAAAGCAAAGGCAAAACAAAGTTTAGTTTTCTGATCGGGTAATTAGCATGGGTGTAATTCCCAACCTAGGCTCTGCCTAGAGGGTTAGCTTAGCTTAGCTTAGCTTAGCGCAGCGCAGCGCTGCATTAGCATAACATAGCCGAGCATAGCATAGCATAGCATAACATAGCATAGCATAGCATAGCATAGCGCAGCATAGCATAGCATAGCGTAGCATAGCATAGCATAACATAGCATAGCGCAGCTTAGCATAGCATAGCATAGCATAGCTTAGTATAGCATAGCTTAGCATAGCACAGCGCAGCATGACATTGCACAGCGAAGCATAGCATATCATAGCATAGCATAGCATAGCATAGCATAGCGCAGCATAGCATGGCATAGCATCGCGCAGCATAACATGGCATAGCATAGCATAGCATAGCAACTAATGCTGCTTTCCTAGGGGCTCCAACTTCTAGGTAGGGTCGCACTGGGGTAATTCTCTCTCTCTCTCTCTCGTTCTCTCTGTTTCTCTCATTCCCTCCCTCCATCCCTCTCTCCCTCTCCCGATGTGCCCCGAGAGCCCCGCTCATGTTTCCCTACTTCTGTGACTCCAGAAAGTGGAACAAGCGCGCACCACTCGCTGCGAACGCCTATCGATGATTAATACCAGCGGGCCCCCCAAAAAAACAACCTTGCAAGCTTCTCCTCCATCTCGCTCTCACGCGCCTGCGCAGCTGCCGATACTGGGCGCCGTGTGTTATGTTGACAGCAGCATCCAACGAAACCTGTGTAAACTTGGTAGAGGGAGCACAGCAGCACCAGGATGCAACTATAAACCATGCCCTGTGAGGACGAATCACACAGAAAGTAGCGCGCATGGGACGGCAGAGAACAAAGTGAGTTGGACGATCACGACGAAAAAACACTGCATGACGAGGAGGAAGGGTCATATGGAAGCTGGCGAAAGAAGGCCCGGGCGAACAAGGCCCTACTCGGTCCGAATGCGATAGGGGGATGCAGAACAAATCCAAGCCCTTGCGCCAACACGATTCAGCCGTGCTAAAGAATTTGCTCGCGGTTGTGTGATCAAGACGCGATTGGCTCGAAACCAATGACTCTCTCGCAGCCTGGCTGTCTTCAGGCAAGGTCGAACACTGCCTGAGGACGCCATATCCGACCATGGCGCACCCGCGACTGCCAGAACCCTACTAGGGGCATCCACGTCCGCCGAGAGGCTGGCCCGCAAACACCTTCTAGGCACCATCCTCCTCATCCTGCTCCCTCGCACCTCCTCCCATTCCGTTCTCCTCCCGTTATCTTCCTCCGCCTGATCCACTTTACTCCTCTTCCATCCGTCCATCCTCCCCCCCCGCCACCCCACACTGACTCAGGGCTCAGAATGTGTCCCCGTCGTGACTGTTCCACGCGCGGAAGCGGGCCGTCGACAGCCGGCACCGCAATGGCCACAGCGCGCCCACCCCTGCGCACCCCATTTTCCCCTCACGAGATGTCTTCTTATGCTGCCCGTCGGCGTGCGGCGGAGCGAGAAAACATGTCACAGAGTAACGGCCACGGTGCACCCACCCCTGCGCGCCCCATCTTCACCTCGCAGGATGTCTTCGTGCGCTGCCCGTCAGCGTGCGGCGAAGCGAGAACACACATGTCACAGAGTGCGGCCAGGCGTGCTCGCGCGCGGGTGACGCATGCGAGGAGGACGCAGGTGCCGCGGCTTCGTGGTCACGGCACTCCTCAAAGCCTTCATGGGTGATTCCACATGCGTTAGGACTGGTGGGTACTCAGGCGGCTATCCGACCTTGAACCTCCGACTCTCATCGTTATTCAATGAGCTGTGGATTTACCAGCGAAGAGAGCGAGGGCTGTGGATGATTGCCCATTGGTCAGAAAAAAAGAACGAGGACGACGAAGGGGGAAAAGGAGGAAGGGGAGGGGGAGGGCGAGGAGGACAGGGAGGGGGAGGAACACGCAGAGGGTAGAGGGGCAGGGGCGGGGAAAGGGGGGGAAGGGAGGACAAAGAGGAGAGGGAAAAGGCGTCCGTATCAAAAGGCCGCATTTGGCCGACGGGACGCGAGCCCACACATTGTGGACTTCGCTGCTTACTACATCGGCGCTAAAAAAGTGTTGGTCCGTTTCGCGCCTCCACCAAGAAAACGCAGAACGAAGGTTCCAATGGTAGGTGTGGGAAGGGAAGGAGGACCAGGAGATCGTTCCCACACCTGAAACCGTCGGTAGACTCGGGATGATGATGATGGCGGAGATGATGATGATGGCGGATGATGATGATGATGATGATGTGATGATGATGATGATGATGATGATGATGATGATGATGATGATGATGATGATGATGATGATGATGATGATGATGATGATGATGATGATGATGATGATGATGATGGTGATGGTGATGGTGATGGTGATGATGATGATGATGATGATGATGATGTGATGGTGATGGTGATGGTGATGGTGATGGCGATGATGGTGATGACGATGATAATTACTGACGGTGATACTGATGATGGTGATGATGGTCGTCATCATCAGCAGCAACATCATCATGCGGCGTTACCCTCGCCACCAGCATCCAAGAGTGCGAGTACCTGAGCCCAGAGGGGCGATGGACATAGGGATAAGAGAGTGCATATGAGGGGTTTCATACACAGTGGGCGGCGCCTGGTATGGTTTAGGCTCTCAGTTTTCGCTCCCGATGGAAGAGCGAGACTGTCGGCCACCCACCCGCGTTACGGCCCTTCGGCCGAATGAAAATCAGAAGGGACAGCAAAGTGTAGCCTGCGGCGTGCTGCCCCGAAAGCGAAAGCGAAAGCGACCCGTGCCTACGACGCGCGCCCGCGACTCGCGCCAGCAACCCGCACTCCCGACCGGCGTCCGCGACCAGAGCCCGCGACCAGTCCGCGGCCCTCGAACGAGACCGCGCCTGCGACAGGCGACCTGCGCCCTGGGTGGCTGCCTCGTTGACTGGTTTCCTGCCACGTGTCCGCTCTTGCCGCCCGAATGGCTGTGTCATACAGGCTCATAGCGCCTGTGGGACCACATTGCCAGCGACACCACTCCTGACAAGCAGCAGTACGCAATCGGGTGTTTTTGGGGCAATCTGCACCCGAGCACCACCGGGACTGTGAGCACCAGGCCGCCTGTGGGACCACATTGCCGGTGGACGCCACTCATGACAAGCAGCAGCACGCAATCAAAATTGCTTGACTCAAGTATCGCTTGAGCACCACCGTGAGTATGAGCACCCATCCGCCTCCAACCATCCGTCGCCAGTCAATCCCACTACCCTTGCATTCCTCATCTGTCCACCCCATCATCCCTCCTTCGTTTATCTTTCCACAATTTGGTAACTCTTCTCTCCATCCTTCCTCCCTCTGCCCCCTTCCATCCTTGGATCCATCCACCCGCCAATTCCTCTTCACTCCTTCCTCCCTCCCTCCCGGAATCCATCCAGCCATCTACTCGTCCTTCCTACCAATTTCCTTCATTCGTCCGTCATCCTTCTTCGCTCATCCTCTCATCTGGCTTCCCTCCATGGCTTCGAACTACGTTTTGAAAGAAGTCTCAGGCGGAAGCGCCATGTCAAATTCGAGCTGAAGAGGTGTCGACCTCTATTTTCGAGGAAGTTCTGGGCGTGAGCACCATGTCGAAATCGAACCAGACGGATTTGGAATTCCAGTTTCAGGAAGTCCTGGGCGGGAGCGCTGTTTCGAAATCGACCCCGAAGTTTCAAAATCGTTCGAAATTGCTGTTGAAATATCAAACGAAACCGTCGTTTCGAACTGGCCGCACCGTCTGGCATTCAAATTCTAACATTTGTGCCCAGAGATATCGAAAGTGTGGTTTCCGCTTGAGACTTCCTCCAAAAAACGACCTCGACTGGATTTCGAAACCGCGGGTTCGAATTCGAAAGGGTGGTTCCACCCGAGACTCGAGCAAAACAATTATTGAACAGAACATTGTACTCGGGGCCCGCGGCCAAACGGGCCCCTTTGACGTCTCCTCTCTTGTCGCGGGCGCAACGCCACTGACAACGTTGCACCCTGGCCCCGTCGCCTAGTGGGAGGCACTGCATTGTGGCCGAACTTCCGTAGCGGCGACCTGAGAAATGGCGGACCTAACGCGAGACCAAACGAAGCTCTACTGGTACCACAAGAATGCCGACGGCTCCCGACGATCGAAGGCACGACTCGATGGCCCTACACCTCGATTGCACCTGGCGTCGCGGAGGCAACAAAATTAAGATTGCCCCTGTCGTCGTGCCAGCCTCTCTTCATCGAGATCGAGTGCCACATCAATATGCTGCCAATGTCTGCGACCCCAGTAGGCTTCATACTCCACGACATACTGGTCACGGCCCTCTTCAAAACCTTCATGGGTATTCCCACCTGCGTTAGGACTGATACGGCTATCCGACCTTGAACCTCCTGCTCTCGACATTCTTCAGTGAGCTTTGGATTTACCCGCGAAAGGAACGAGGGCTGTGGATGATTGCCTCATGGGTCAGAGACGGGAACGCGGAACCGGGGGGAAAAGGAGGGAGGCGAGGGGGAGGACGACGAGGACAGGGAGGGGGAGGAACAAGCAGAGGGCAGAGGGGCGGGGGCGGGGGGAAAGAGGGAGGGGGGAAGGGAAGGAGAAGGAGGAGGAGCAGGAGGAGGAGGAGGGGAAGCAGGAGAAGCAGCAGCAGAAGGGAAGAGAACATCCACGGGGCCTGACGCCCTCTCGGCGCGCTGCGCCTCGACGTCGGCGCGCGCTCGCTCCAGCTGGGCCTCCCCCCATTGCTATAGCGGGGGAGGGAAGGCAGGAGGCGCTGTTGCCCAGATCCCCGCCACTCGTCCTCCCTGCCCCCCTCCTCCCCATTTCCTGTGCACTACGCTCCCTTCCTCCCATCCTCCCTCCTCGCCCCTCCCCCTCCCTCCCTCCTTCTGGCCGGTCTTCCAGTCAGCACCCCCAGCACTTCCTCAGCTGCTCCAACACGATCACTCCGTCGTGCTGAACTGGCACCCAAAGGTTCCTGTCCTGTGAAGAGGGCGACCGCTTAAAATCTGAAAGGTGTGAATCAAAGACACCATCGATTGACGAAATGAGCGGGGTGTATCATCCTTGCGCGGACACGAAGCGAACGACGACGACGAAGACGACGACGACGCAGACGACGAAGACGACGACGACGACGAGAGGCTCCTAAAAGGTTCCTGGGGGGCTCCTGAGCTCCTGAGAGGCTCCAGAGAAAGTCCGATGCTCCTGAGAGGTGCCGGGGGAGCTCCTGAAGAGATCCTGAGAGGATCCTGAGGAGCTCCTGGAATCTCCTGGGAGGTTTCTGGGAGGCTTCCAAAATGCCCCTGAACGCGCCCGATCTGGCCCAATCCTACCTTTTAAACTTGCCTTCGACGGCCGCGCACCTACTCCGAAGTATACCTTCAAGCTCTGTAGAATAGTCCTGCCAGCGACGGTGAACCACGGGCAGGTGTGCGTTGCGCCCACTAGCTTGATGCCCCCAGACACCAGCCCGGAGGCCCCGAAAGCTGGCGCACGCTCCGCAAAATCTGCAGAGCGAGAGGAGGTGAAGAGAGGAGGGGCACGGACGGCCATGGATATTCATCATAACACGAAAAACAACTATAATCATACCGACAATCCGCGTGACGATCCTCACCTTCACCATTATCATCAGCATCACCATCAGCATCAGCATCATCAGCATCATCCTCATCAGCAGCAGCACCAGCATCATCAGTATTATTATTATCAGAATCATCATCAGCATCATCAGCATCATCAGCGTCATCATCATCATCATCATCATCATCATCATCATCATCATCATCATCATCATCATCATCATCATCATCATCATCATCATCATCATCATCATCATCATCATCATCCGCGTCATCATCATCAGCAGAATAATCGGCATCAGCATCATATTCCTCAACATCATCACCCTCCTCATCATCCTCATCATCCTGCTCACCATCAGCATCATCATCAGCATCAGCATCATTACCATCATCATCCTCATCAGCATCAGGATCAACATCAGAATCACCAGCATCATCATCAACAGCATCGTCATCAACGTTCTTATCCAGCAGCACAATCATAACAATAATGAGTACCAAGAAGTATAAATCACATATAATTATATGAACAGAATTAAGACGCATCATCATCATCAACATGAGCATCATCAGCAGCATCATCACGATCATCATCATCGGCATCATCAGCATCACCATCCTCAGCATCATCAGTATCATCGTCGTCTTCATCATTATCATCACCATCATCATCACCATCAACATCATCATCATCAGAATCGTCGTCACCGTCGTCGTCGCTGTCGTCGCCATCATCATCATCATCATCATCATCATCATCACCACCACCATCATCATCAGCATCAGCATCATCATCATCATCGCCGTCGTCATCATCATCACCATCATCAGCATCACTACCACTACCTCCTGCTCTGCCGCGTCCTCCTGCTGATTACGCCAAAACTGCTGAAATCAAGAGCCAGCCCACACCCCCAGGTGCCTGCAGCTGCTTTTCTTCCTCCGCGGCGTTCTCTGCTGCCACGGTGGCCTGCAGAAAGAGTTGCACCGCTCATATAGCTTCTTCTCTTTCCCTCTCTCTTTCTCTCTCTCTTTCTCTCGCTCTTCTCTGACGGCGCTGCCACTCCGAAGACGCAGCAACTCTTATTTCCGGAGCGGACAACTTGGACACGCGCAAAGCGGAGTTTGATCTCAAAGAGAAAGGGGGGCCCGATCGCTGCGCGATCCTGCTGATTCCCAGCGGAAAGAGGACGAACCATGCTCCCCGTATCCCACCCCATCAGCATCACCATAATCATCGCCATCAACCTCATAATCACCATCACCATAACCAGTCTAATCATCGTCATCGTCGCCATCAGAATAATCATCATCATCATCATCATCATCATCATCATCATCATCATCATCATCATCATCATCATCATCATCATCATCGTCGTCGTCGTCAGCAGCAGCAGCAGCAGCAGCAGCAGCAGCAGCAGCAGTAGCATCATCATCGTCATCATCATCATCATCATCATCATCATCATCATCATCATCATCATCATCACCATCGTCATCCTCATCATCATCCTCATCATCATCATCGTCATCATCATCAACATCCTCATCACATGCCTCTGCCTTTCACCTTGCAAACCCTGGAGAAAAAATACACACAAGTTGATGCTTTGTCCCGCGGGCAAGAAGGCGTACACTCCACAAAGTCAAAACGTAAGCCGAAATGCGTCGGTAACGACCGCCGCTCGGCTCCTACGCTCAGCTACGCGTCTAGCCCTGTCGTAACCGCATGTTCTAACACCCCAGTCGGCTGGTAAGCCGAATTTGCAGACGGGGAGGTACGAGCTGTAAGATTGGCTGGACGGAAAAAAACATGTCGAACTAACCATACATGTCTGTCAACTCTCCAACAAAACAAATTGAATGCACAGGCAGGCGTTGGTTGCAGGTGCATAACAGGGCACAGGTATAGGGCGGTGACGGCTTGGGCGTAAACATGCAGTGGCCGCCGAACATGCAGTACACTACTTCTGTTTATTGCAGCAAAATGAAAAGTCATGCTTAGAATGGTTGACTAACGGGTCGATGGTGCGATGCGCCCTGCATAACTAGACCTTGAGGGCGGTCAGATACGAGGTGATCGCTGGGGCGTTGCGGTCGCATGCCCCTTGATACCAGTTGTGGTACGTCATATTGTTCGGACATAACGACTAGACCGTATGCTAACTTGATGGAAATTTCGGCGAGCTCCTCAGTGGCGAATATCCTTGCAAGCGTCGTGATGATTATGTCACTATGATTGTTATGTAACCCCTCGCAGAAAATCCCACCAGCCCTTTAGGGCGTAGGTGGTCTAGCGATTGTGTCTTCCATCTGCCCCTCTTCCCCTTCGTAAAGGGGATTACCCATCCCCCTACCCCCATCCCTGGATCTGGACGGGGTGTCCCCCGAGGGGGTGGAGTGTCCATGATGGCCCAAGATGGCTCCAAGAGCGCCTCGGCGAGCCCAAGATGAGCTCCAAGATGGTTCGAAATGTCCCAAGATGCCTCAAGATGGTTCCCAAGATGCTCCAAGAGGCCCCAGGACCGCTCCAAGACGGCTCCAAGTGGCCAAAGAGCTCCCCAAGGAGGCCCCAAAGAGGCCCAAATCCTCCCAAAACCTAGAGAAAATCAATGCTGTGTGCTTTCTCGCCCTTTCGCTTCCGATGGCCTTCCAAAGCCTCAAGATGGCTCATGGCTCCAAGAGGGCCCAAGGGGGGCCCCAGAGGGGCTCAAGAGAGCCCAATGACGGCCCCAAGAGCGCACGAGAGTGCTCCAAGAGGGGCCCAAGAGGCGATCCTAGGCACTCTAGAATGGCGAGGCTACTAAGAACCCCACCTCTTGTGATCGATGTTCTCCAAGATGGCCCGAAGAGCGCTCCGAAGGCACCCAAGAGCACCCAAGGAGGGTCCCAACAGGCGCCCAGACGGCCCCAAGAGGAGCCCAAGATGCCTCCAAGAGGCTCTCAGGCGGCCCCCAAGAGGATTCAAGAGGATCCCCGATGCACCCAAGATGCACCCCAGACGTTCCAAGAGGCCTCCCAAAAAAAAGAGAGACATCCGATGAAGCTCTTCTGTTCGTTGTTGTTCCTCCTCCTCTCCCATCCTCCTCCTCCTCCTTCTCCTCCTCCTCCTCCTCCTCCTCCTCCTCCTCCTCCTCCTCCTGTTCCTCCTCCTCCTCCTTATCCCCCTACTCCTCCTCCTCCCTCCTCCCTCCTCACCTTCACAGAACTGCTGTCCCCACCGTAGTAGACCGATCCGCATAAGTCAACGAAGCGCGCCGGATTTAATCTAAACCACTGGTTTCTGTCCTGAGGTGCGCTTAACTCAAGCAGGGCATCGCCAGGTACAGCTGGAGCACCAGCTGCGGTTGCAGCGGCTGCCATCAACCTCGCTCCGCGACCATGCAAGTCCTGGAGAAGGAATTGCACGGGAACGATTTGATGTTTCTTCTGTGTGCAAGAAGGCGTGCGCTCCACAGGTTGAATACTTGAGCCAAGCGGCGTCGGTAACGACGGCGTCTCGACTCCCACGCTCAGCTATGCTTCTCACCCAGTCCCAGCGGCATGTTCTAAAACATCTGCCTGTTCCTGCTCCTCCTCCACCCCAGCCCCCCTCCCCCTCGTCCTCCCCCCCTTTCCTCCCCCTTCGACGACGACGGCGACGATGACTACGGCGACGACGACGGCGAAGACGACTACGACCACGACACGATGACGACGACGACGACGACGAGGCAGGGAGCGGCGGTGGCGCGCGGAGAAGGCCTGCGCCAGGTCGGCCAGAAGATTCGCCTCCCGGGCCGCGTGCGAACGCTGCTGGGCCTCGAGCTCCGCCCGCGTCTGCTGGTGCTCGGCGCGCGCAGAGGGGGGGAGGGGATGAGGAGGAGTGTGCAGGAGGGAGCGGGGAGGAGAATCGAGGGAAGACATGGGGGAAGCGGGAGGGAGCGAGCGAGCTAGGGCCAAATCCGCGCGCGCGCCGCGTGGGCGCCTGCGCGCGCCCGTGAGGGCGTGGCGGTGGGGGCCGTAGCCTCGATACGGAAAATGACAACTCGGTGTTGTGAGACGTGGGCGGCTTCACGTCTTCTCTACCATGCAGTATGTGCTGCAGCCCGGGTCCATCCCAAATCGATGGTGATGTGCTTGTGTTGTCGGGGAACAACTGCTGCCACGATGTCTCCCGTCCCATCGCCGTCACAATCGCAAATAATACCTCTCGGAGTAGGTAAGAATGTCTGGACGTCATCCTCCCACCGTGTCTGTTGACCTCCATGCCGTCGTTGCCCTCGTTGTCTAGTGTTGGCGTTCGGGTTCCATCCCACTACTCGCTGTGTCCACCGCGTCGTGGGGTGGTTCGCCACAGTAGCTGCCCATCGCTAAATCATCCAGCGTCGTATGTGTAACACGTCAAGTATGTCGTGCTTGAACATCATTGATTATGCAATCCGTGTGTCCTCTGAATGTAGTCGGACCATGGCTCAAAATCGTCGCCTGGTCCGACATCTGTCCGTGTCGCTTCCTCGCCGTCGTTGTCCTGAAGGTGGTGGTGGTGATCGGTAGGTGGGTTACTGCATACCTCGGACTCGCTGGTGTCGTTCGTCGCATCGTCGCCCGAGTCGTGGCCATTGCTTGGATCGTCTCTGGGTTACTGCGTGGTGAAGGCGAGGCTGTCGTGCGCCGATGTGGAGGAGGACGAGGAGGCGAAGGAGGAGGAAAAGGAGGGGGAGGATTGAGGCGGAGGACCAGGAGGAGAGGAGGAGAGGAGGATGAGGGGAGGAGAGGGGAGGAGAGTAGAATGGGGGCTGCAGTCAGAATGGGTCTCAAGGCGAGGGGGTGAGCCCAGGGGGGCCCCCGCTTCTCGCTCCATCTTGAAGCCCCTGGAGCCCCCTGGGCCTCAGAATTTGAATCAGAAGGCGGGATGACACCGCTGGAAACTGACGCAAGAACGCAATATGGGAAGAGAAGCGCCAAGCGCCAAGCAAGAGCGCGCTGCTCGCTGACATAAACTGAACTACGCCTTTGCGAGGGAGAGGGAGGGACCAAACGAGGATAAAGAACGGAAGCACCATGTGTTCTAGTGCAAAGGTGGGCTCCATCGTGCCACCGCTGTCGTGGACGACAGGCTGCCAGTCTCTCATCCGTGCGCCTGCTTGCTGTAGCTGTTCAGCGGTCCTCTGGCTTTGGAGCCAGCGCTCCCCTTGCTAGTGGAACAGCTGCACCGCCCATTGCTCTGGAGGCCGTGGGGGGGCACCCTGGATCCTGGGAGCACGTGTCATCAAAGGATTAAGGACTTATGCGGTCCCTCGACTCGAGCCACGATTTCTCCTGATGTATCCGGACACTGACCGTTTGCGAGAGTGTCGCGAAACATACTCACGCATGGCAACGCCAACGTAAGGCGTCGCCGTGCATGCGCGTCGTAAACGAGCAAGTCTAGGCAGATGCACTGAGGCCCACGGACCCCCCTTTGGCGGGGCCCCTTATGATGTCGTGGGTCGCGCCATCGGCGTGGTGGGGCGAAACCGCCTCGGGGTTACTTTCCCAAGCGCTTTCATATTAACCGCCAAACGGGATAGAAATCGGGAAACGCCACCGGTGCGTATCATGTCATACACGGGGGAACCTCATGAAAATTTCCCTGACGATGTACCCAAACCTTGCGCAACGTGCGGCTAGAAGAGTTGGGACGACTTTACAAGGAGGGATAACGTGGCCAGGACCTATAATTGTTGCGAACGCTACATGGTAGGCTCGCCAAGCTGCGCGACTCGCAGGGCACTGATCGATGGACAGTGGCTTGATGGAGGTGGCTCGATGGAGGTCATTACTGATTTCCCTGGCTCGAGAGGAAAGAACTGCTCCCCAGCAACCCTGAAAAGTGGCAGAACGCTCCCACATCGCACCCCCCAAAGGGAACGACGAGGTCTAATCTAGGTCCGCTGCAAGTACACACTGCGCTTGCACCCCCAGCAGCCCTCGATCTGAGTTTTGGAAGGGCCCCCACTATGCTGGCCCCCCGAACAAGCCCTCAAAAGTGGCGACAGACTCGCAGATCGCAGCCCCCCAGAAATGGCGAGGTCGAATCTGAATCAGGGTAGGGCACCCCACGATGCTGCCCCCCCCGCAGCCCTCGAAAATGGCGACAGTTTCACCGATCGCAACCCCCCAGGGAAGGGGGGGGGTCGAACATCTCACCCCCCATTTGAAGGGGGGGAAGAGGGGGGGTCCGAACCCTCCCCCCCCCTTTCAATTACAGGGTCCTCCAGCGCCGCAACAGCAACGCGTGCCCATGGCCTCATCCTTCTTACTTCATCCCCTGCTCCCTGATACATCCACTCTCCTCCCTTCTCATTCCTCCACCTACCTCCTCATCCTCCTTTTGCTCTTCATCCTCATCCTCCTTGTCCTCCTCCTCAGCAGCATCCGCCTGTTCTACTATTGCTCCTCATTAGTATCCCTCATCCTCCTCCTACTACTACTACTACTACTACTACTACTACTACTACTACTACTACTACTACTACTCCTACTCCTACTCCTCCTCGTTAGCACCATCATCAGCAGCAACAGCATCATCAGTATCATGATCATGGTCGCCATCAACATCAAGATCGTCATCATCATTTGTATGGTTGTCCTCGTCGCCTCTCCCAACCAAACTCATCATGCCCACCAGCCCTCTGGGCATAGGTTGTTTAGTGAGCCCGCCGCTCTTACAAACGGTGGAGCGTCCAAGAAGGCCCAATGTTGTTTCAATACGGCCGCAGATAGCTGAAGATGGCCTCGAAGATGGCACACACTGATCCAAGTTCGGACAAGAATGCCTCCAACATGCTTCCAAGAAGCTTCAAGACCGCCGCAGGACGACTCGAGGTGGCCACGGAGCCTTCCAAGGATGTCTCCTAGAGAACAAAAACCTTCACACACGCATACACACAAAGCAAAATAGTTTCAAAGACAGCACTCTCCCTACCCACTCCACCACCTCTAAATCCTTCTCCTACTTACTTCACCACCTCTCTCCTCATTGCCCCCAACCTTTCCGCTCCCAACTTGTCTACCTGACGTGACGTGCAGAAGGGGCGGGGCACGTTCCTGTGAGTTCTCTGCCTCCAGCTCGGAAGCCAAGGCCTCGATAAGAAGGAGGAGAAGGCGAAAGGGTAAGGAGAGGCGAGGGGGAGAGGGAGGGCGTGGTGAGAGTAAGAAAGAGAGGATGCGGGGAGAGGAGGGGAAGGGAGGGGAGTACTTGAGGCGAGATTGGACGTACTAATCCCGAGCAGCAAACGGCCCCCCACCACCACTGCAGCCATGGCAAAGCGAAGATCCTCAGAGGCAAAGGACATCCTCGCCTGCCTCCTTGCACAGAGGGTGCAGATCGCAGCTGAGTTATTCACGCATGTACCAGACGAGGGGCACAAGCAAGAGCGCATGCTCCTTGTCCCACCATGCTCATCTAGAAGGTCAGGCCAACTTCATGATGAAATCATTTCCCCTGCAAGGATGTGGCCATGCCGTGCCGTGCACCTACTCCAGCTTTCCCTCGCACGACATCCCACATGCAGCGAACTGGCCCGTCTCGCAAACCACGAGAGCCTCTACGTTGGGCAGCCCTGATGGAACCATGGTTAGGGAGCGCAGGACCACACCGCCCGAGCTGCCCCGCTCGACGAGGCCAGACGAGCGCACCTCCCGAGGAGAGCGAGCACAGCTGCCGCCAGGAGGCGATCCCTTGCGCGAAAGACGAGCGCGCGGCACACGGGAGGGGCGCGTCGAGAGTCCGAAACCAGAGAGCGAGGCGCGCGGGCAGCGCACGTGACAGAATCCCAGACGCCAGCGGGCCACAAGCGGGACGAGGCCAGCGCGTTCCCGGAGAGCGCGCGACGCGTGCCGAGGCTATACCTTCCAGGGGCCGGCGGCGCCGCGCGCGGGCGGGCGCGCGGCCCCTTGGACGCCCTCGGGGCCAGGGGACGCGCGGGCGAAGGCGCTCCCCGCTCGGCCACGCCGGAGCTCTCGCAGAGCATCGCGCCCCGGAGCTCTGGCCAGACGCGGGGGGAACGACAGGGGGGGACACCAAAGGGCGGGGTAGAGAATCAGCTCACGTGGCTGATGTTCCCAGCGCCTCCCGGCGCCGGGAGGCGCCCATGTATCGAGGAATGGGCCCGGCGGCGGGGCCGAAACCAGCTGCATGCAGCAGATTTCGTACCCCCCCTTTCCCTATCCCCCCCTTTCGCTCGGCCCGACAGAAGCCGTGCCCCACGCGTCCGCGCGTCCCGTCCTCTGCCATGGCCAGGAACGAGCCCCGAACCTGCCGCTTGACCCCTCCAGTCCACCATCCCGAGCCAGCTCCTCGAGCCGCAGCCGGCCACGTCGGCGGAGGGGCCCCCGCCCCGAGGGGCGCAGGAGTCTGCTGCACCTCTGGCAATCGCAGGAGCGCGCAGGAGGATCCTCTCGGGGAGGAGCGGACGGTGCGCAGGCAGTCGGAACGTGCCCGAGAGAGAGAGACGCGGGCGCCGCGCGCGGGCGAGAGCGGCCCCTCGGCGCTCCGCGCATCAGGGCCAGTGCGGGGGCGGCGCGTGCAGAGGACCCACCCGGCACGCAGTCGGGGACGCGCGAGCGGGAACAGCATGATCGAAGGCCCCCACCCATCCTGTGCTCCGTCCCCCTTTTTTCCTTCTCCCTCTCCCTCCCCTCCTCATCCTTTACCGCCTCCCGCCCCGCTCCCCTCGCCCTCCCCTCGCCTCACGTTTCCCTGCACGCGGAGGTGGGATCGCGCTGTGTGGAAAAGGTGTCGGCGTTTCGGCTCGTGTGGGAGTTCCCACGGGAGTCAAAAAAGACGTCTCGAGGGTCGCTCAAGCGTGCCAGAAGGACCTCTGCAGCCTCTGTCGCGCACGCGAGGCCGCGGGCGGGGTGGATGCGAGCAGAGGGTAAGCGCTGGGATGTGTGCGGGCGAAGGGGCCAGAAGACCTGTTAAGCCGCCGGCGAAGGATTGAGTGTACCAACAATCCACCAGCATGCCAGGAAATCCGCGGGCGGTGACGTGGTGGTGGTAGGATACGTCGGCGGCTGCGGCGGCCACGGCAGAGAGAAGCGGCCTGCAGCTGCGCCTTCGTGTCAGCGAGCTCGCCATCCCGGCGGCGCAGCATCTCGGCGGCCTCGCGGTGGCTAGCACGGATCGCCTGAAGCGGGGGCGGCGGTGTCTCCTCCTCCTCCTCCTCCTCCTCCTCCTTCTCTTCCTCTTCCTCCTCCTCCTCCTCCTCCTCCTCCTCCTCCTCCTGGGGAGGTGACGTTGTAGTAGCGAGGGCGAAAGACCAGACCAGACCAGAAAGTAAAAGACGAGACGAGACGAAGGCGAGACGAGACGAGGCAGGAGGTCGGACCAGACTGCGCAGAAGGGGACCAGTACCAGACCAGGGTCAGGACGAAGTCAATAATAGAAGGAACACGGGCTAAGAGAGAGCGAGAAGAGAGAGAGAGAGGACAGGAAATTGGAGAGAAGTGAAGAGAGGAGAAGAGCAAGACACGATGGGCAAGAACTGGACAGGTCAGAACACTAGAGAGTAGGCCAGGACAGGGCAGGACAGAGCAGGGCAAGACAGGCAAGACAGACAATACGAACTCTTGCAAGGCAAGTCAAGGCATGACAAGGTAAGACAAGACAAGGCGAGGCAAGGCGAGGCAAGGCGAGGAATGTAGGACAGGACAGGACAGGACAGGACTGGATATGACCAGACGGCACAGCACTGAACAGGACAAGGCAGGGCAAAACAGACAAGACCAACAAGACAGGCAAGACACGATGGACACAAGATGATGGACCCCCCAGGGGAAACAGGATTAACCCAGCTCGAGGGCGGACAAATCGGCTGCCGGGTAGACGGACGGGACACCGATACCAGGCAAGGCTTGAGCGTACTGGGAAGAAGCTTGGGTCGGCACGTAAGCGTTCGCGCCCAGTGGCTGCTCTGAGGGCCGCGGCCGCGACAGAAGGATGAGGCCGTCGGGTCGTCGAACGGGCGGGGAGGAGAGGGGGGGGGAGCTAGAGGGAGCTGCTCCTTCATCCCTTCTTCTCCTCCACCTCCTCCTCCTCATCCTCCCCCCTCCTCCTTCCCCAAACAATGCTTTCACGGAGGGACTCTTATGTAGTCCGCCAACGGCCTGCGGCAGGTTGAGGCGTGGAAGGATGCGAAGGGCTGTCTGGCCAGGGTGCTGTAGTCTTCTAAGGGACCCCCCACCCGCTCCGGTAGCACCCACCCGACTACTGATGGGGGGTCCATGGGCGGCCATGGCGCCTCCGCCAGGAGGCCCCAAGAGGCGCCCAAGAGGCCCCAAGAGGCCCCCAGGCGGCCCCCAAGAAGCCCCAAGAGGCCCCCCAGAGGCCCAAAAGAGGCCCGAAAGAGGCCCCCAAGCGGCCCCCAAGAGACCCCGAAACTGCCGCCGGGAGGCCCCCGAGAGGCCGCCCGCGAGACCCCAACGAACACCCAACAGGCTTCGTGTCCACAGCCCAGGCACGGTGTCGGGACTTGCATGAAGGGGCCCTGGGACACACAAATAAATACACACAAATAAAAGGATTCCCCATATTTTCCCATATTTTCTGCTTTTTTGTCTTCCACACCACTTCCCATATTTTTCTACATTTTCCTGGGAGTCGACGATTAATTGTGTCTGTGTGTTTTTTCCCCTCCTGATTGCAGTGGGCAGCTGGACTTCAGAATGTGTGGCCGGGCTTGCCGGGCTGTTTCCCGCAGGCGCCCGGTGGGCGCCTCGTGGCCACCTTGGTGCGCTGGCCGGCGTCTCTGGGCCTTCGGCCCGCGGGCGCCCGTGGGCGCCTCGTGGCCGCCCCGTGTGCGCTGGCTGCGCCTGCTCCACGCAGATGGCGCAGCACACGTCGACTGCACCACACTGATTGCACCGCGTGGAGCGCATCACAACGATTGCTCTGCAGATCTCCCACTACAAAGGCTGCGTCACACACGTTGCATCACACAGGCTGCGCCCAGCCGCTTGCACCACATTCAGACTGCACCAAGTATTCCGCTTCAAATATATCGGTTCCACTACAATGACTGCGCCGCGCGAACTCCACGTGCGTTGCGCCGCGTGGGTTGCTCCAGAAGAGGAGGAGGAGGAAGAGGAGGACGGAGGAGGAGCAATAATAAAAGAGGAGGAGAATAATGAACGAGGAGAATAGAGGACGAAGAGGGGATAGTAAAGGAGGGGAGCATGACGAAGAGGAAGAGGAAAAGAGAAAAGGATAACGGAGCAGCAAGATGAAGAATAAAATGGAGTAAAAGCTGAAAGGAGAAAGGAGGAGGAGAACTCAGGAGGAGGAGGAGGAGGAGGAGGAAGAGGAGGAGAACAATGAGGGGAGAGGGGAAGAGAGTAGGGAGGAGTACGGAGGAGCAGGGAGGAGAAGGGAGAAGAAGGGAGGAGAAGGGAGGAGAAGGAGGAGGACGAGGGACAAGGAGGAGGAGAAGAAGGAAGGAGGAGGGAGAAGAAGGGGGTGGGGGAGGAGGGATGAAAAGGGAGGAGGGAGGACAACGAGCTAGGGAGAGGGAGCCATTTCTGCAACCCATCTCTGGCGCGGGGCACGTCGCTCGTCGGCCACCCGGCCGGCGCGGAGAGGAGGGAGGAAGATGAAGCCGAGGCAGGAGGAGGAGTGAAGAACAGGAAGAAGAGGAGGAAGTGGAGGGAGGAGGAGGACTTGGTGGTGAATGGCGAACTATACTCAAGTACAGAGTTCGCCCAGGCAAGGTCGGCAAGCCTGAGGTTATTTACATCACTCATGGGGGAGTTGCGCAATCAGCACAAGAGGAGGCGAGGATATGATCGGCCACTTCGCCCACACAGAGGATGCAGCCAGTTCTGTAGTCGTCGGCTGAGCAGCACAACGACATCATGCGTCACAATGTTCTTACTCCGAATGTATTGGCCACCTACATACCTCAGAGTGGGGTGGTTACTGAGAGATTTGCCAGAGTCCGTCGGAGGAAAGCGCTGGGTCTTGACTCTACTCATGGGGACCGTCTTTGCTGTCGTCCACACTCTGCGGCAAGACAGTTTGCACCGCTGATGGCCAAAGTTGTTGCACGTCAGAACCACTGGGATGAAAACACGAAGTGGTCCTTCCTCTTTTCAAGAGCTCTGGTAGACCAGCATCACTTGAATACTACCGTTCGTTTCGATCGAACGACCATGTCAGCAAGGTGTTGCACCGAGTTCTCCGGGACTAGCTTGCAAGCTACATGGGCTTATTTCTGAAGGCGACGCCGTGCAGAGGACGCGCCATGTATGAACCCAGACCTTTAGTTCATGACTCGGGCTGCTACATCAAGCCGGTCAAACTTAAAGATGTCAGATCGAGCCTGAATGCTCGAGCTTCTCCTCGGTGTGTGCCAGACCATCGCCCATCTCATAGCTCGAAGCTCGCATTAAGGCCCAGAGTCACGAGCAAGTCCAATATCAACTTATTCCAACAGCTTCGCAGACACCACGAATCCAGATATCTACACATGTATGTGGCATCCATTCCCCAAACACTGCTTGCACTGAGGGGTTCTCACTTCGCTTACTACGGAATTGGATGGGTGTGCTGGGATTTTGGCTGGTGCTCGGTTGGTGCCGCCTCGTTGCCGCCTCGGCTGGTGCCCGGTTGGTGCCACGCCTCGTTGCCGCCTCGTGTGCTGGGTGGCTGTGTCGGGGTGTCGGCTGGTGCCCGATTGCTGCCACCTCGTTGCCGCCTCGTTGCCGCATCTCTCGCCACATAGCTTGCACCACAGTAGCATACACTCCCATACTGCAATAACTTTACTGCCTGGGGCACACGTTGACAAACATATGCATAGAGATGGAGAGAAAAAGAATATATATATATATATATATATACATATATAAGTCGCTATCTATCTCTCTTGTTCTTTCTCTCTCTACATATATGTGTATACATATATATATATAGATCCTTCTCTCTGTCGGGGGGGCGAGGAAGGCGGGGGGACGTCGAGGAGGACACAAGCGAGGGGGCCGGAGCGACGTGGGGACGTGGGTTCAGAGGGAGCGGCGGGCAGTTCAGGCGCCCTTGACGCCGACCTTCATGACGTCCCACCTGCCGCGCCTGAGCTGCTGCTTCACGACCTCGCGGCCGCGGCCGCACTGCCCCGAGAGGGTGGAGGAGGGGCGGGGGAGGAGAGGAGAGGGGAGGAGAGGAGAGGGGAGGAGGGGGATGAGGGCGGAGGGCGGGAGGGTCATCCCCTACCCCCGTCCGCAGGGGCAGAGAGGGGAGGTAAGCAAGAGCGCGGTTACTGGGCCCCTGACCACGAGCTCCTGCCCGTCCAAGCCGCAGGACACAAGCAGGACGTTGCCCGTGTCGGCCCACTCGACTTTCCACACCTGGGTAGAAGCTCCTCCTCCTCCTCATCCTCCTCCTCATCATCATCATCATCATCATCATCAGCATCATCAGCATCATCAGCATCATCAGCATCATCATCCTCATCAGCATCATCATCAGCGTCATCAGCATCATCATCATCAGCATCAGCATCAGCATCAGCAACAGCAGCAGCATCATCATCATCAGCATCATCAGCATCATCAGCATCGTAATCGGAAGCATCGTCATCATCATCGGCAGCTTCAGCATCATCATCATCATCAGCATCAGCATCAGCGGCAGCTTCAGCATCATCATCATCATCATCATCATCATCATCATCATCATCATCATCACCACAGTCATGATAATCATCACAATCATCATCAGCAGCATCATCATCATCATAATCATCAGCATCAGCAGCATCATCATCGTCATCGTCATCGCCATCGTCATCCTCATCATCGTCATCATCCTCAGCAGCATCATCATCAGAATCAACAACATCATCATAATAATCGTCGTCGTCATCATCGTCATCATCGTCGTCAGCATCATCATCATCAGACTCCTCCTCATCATCATCAGCATCAGCCTCAGCATCAGCATCAGCATCAGCATCACCACCGTCATCATCATCATCATCAACAGCAGCAGCAGCATCACCATCAGCATAATCATCAGCATCAGCAGCATCATCATCGTCATCGTCATCGCCATCGTCATCCTCATCATCGTCATCATCATCAGCAGCATCACCATCATCATCAACATCATCATAATAATCGTCGTCATCATCAGCGTCGTCGTCAGCATCATCATCATCAGCAGCAGCATCATCATCATACTCCTCCTCATCATCAGCAGCATCAGCCTCAGTATCAGCATCAGCATCAGCATCATCATCAGCATCATCATCAGCATCATCATCGTGCTTCTCTTCCAACTCCCGGTACTCGTCGACATCGTCGTCGTCGTTGTCGACGTCGCTGTCGTCGTCTTCATGAAGATGATGATGATCATCATCAGAATCCAATGCAGCAGCATCACCTCCACTACCATCATCAAACCACCATCATCGTCGTCGTCGTGATCAGCATCATCATCCTTATCATCATCATCAGCATCATCACCATCATCAACAGCATCATCATCAATGATGATGATGATTCATCGCCATCGTCATCGCCATCATCATCATCAGCATCATCAGCATCACTATCATCGTCATCATCATCAGCAGCAGTAGCATCATCATTATCGTCCTCATCCTCGTCATCATCGTTGTCGTCGTCGTCGCCATCCTCCTCGTCATCATCATCGTCATCGTCGTACCACTATCACCACCAATACCACCGTCGTCGTCGTCGCCGCCGCCGTCGTCGACATCGTCATCGTCGTCGCCGTCGTCGTCATCGTTATCATCGTCACCATCGTCGTCATCGTCGTCATCGTCATCATCTTTATCATCAACATGACCGTCACCAACATCAGAGTCACCAACATCACCATCACCGTTATCAGAACTGTGATCCTCATTGTCGAAATAGGTATCGCCGTCGCCATTATCATACTCACCATCAGCATCCTCATCTTCATCAGAGTCTGATTCCAGATCATCATTATCATCTCCGTAGCCTTTTGGCTCAAGCCGTTTTGCGCTCAAGCCATTGAGCGTTGCAGGTGCAGGATTCAAAACGGCACTTCGCGCCTGCGAGTCATTCAGCTTCGGAGAGGGCCGTACCCTCACAGTTCATAATCATTTCGCCGCCATGGGGAAAGGCGGCTACGGCAAGCGCGGCCCTGGTGGTCAGTGTGACAAGGGCGGCAAGGGTGGCAAGGGCATCCCCTCGGCGGCCGCCCTCGAGCGCGAGATCGCGCTGTTCGACAGTGGTGGCACGCCTCTTCCTCCTTGGGCTGCTCGCGCTCCTGGGCTACAGCCAGATGGTCCTCCCGCCCTCTGGACGTGCTCGGCTTGCGGCTGCAGGAAGAACGAGATGCGCTGGTCTCGCTGCAAGCATTGTGGCTCGCAGTGGACCCCGTTCCAGCCATACACGCCCACCTCCTTCGGCACGCCTGGGGGAGTCTGGTCTGCTGGCTTCAGCAGCAACCTGCCGTGCTCCCCCTTTGCTGCTGCTCAAGGGCCACCAGGCACCTTCGCGCCAGGCGACCATGGTGGCGGCAAGGGTGGCAAGTCGCCAGGCGGTCCAGCCAAGCCAGAGACACCTCTTTCTCGTGAAGAGCACGCGTCTTTGGCGGAGCTGCTGGCCAAGGCTGGAGACGCGCTGGGAGCGGCTAAGCATCGTGAGCTGGCCAAGCCTCCACCTGTGGCCAAGGAGCCCACCCTGCAGCACCAGGTTTCCATGGCCCACAGCAAGCTGCGAGGCCTCGAGAGGAAGCTGCAGGGCGCGGTTCAGAGGTTCGAGGAGTGGTCGGTGCAGATGGTGGAGCAGCGTGCTTTGGTCACCAAGTTCACTGAGGAGTGTGAGCAGGCCGACGTTGAGCATCGTCGACTGGTGGCCGCACTTCATGCTCAGACGTCGGCGGCCGACTTGCAGAAGGTGCCAGAGGACAAGGTCGCGCCGTGTTCGCTGTCGTCGATCATGGACGGAACCTTCACGGACAAGCTGGTCATCGACCCCTCGGAGCTGCTTGGAGGCGTCGAGGATTTCGAGCTCTCGGAGGCCGACAAGGAGGAGCTCGAGAAGAGGGGCAACCAGCTGCGAGAAGGCATCCAAAAGTTGGCACAGCGGCTGTTCGCACAGGCCTCCGAGACTGCCAAGAAGATCCAGGAGGCACACAAGGAGCATCTCGGACGACTGGCCAAGAAAAGGAAGACTGACGAAGGTGCTGCTCCTGGCGCTGATGGAGGTGGAGATGCTGAGTCAGCCGCAGACGACGCTGCCACTGGTCCAGCGGCAGCAGCAGCGCAGCCTCCAGAGGTGGATGCTGAAGCTACCGCGTCTGCAGCTCTACGTCAGCGGGCCGCCAAGATCATTCAGCATGGGCAGCCTGAACAAGACCCTCCCCCTGCTGCCGCGTGAGCTTCAGCAGGGGGGACTACATCGTGAACACGTTCATTCCAGCGGCACGCTCACTTGCCCAGCCTGGCACATGTTCTCTCCGATCCCCTCGGCAGGGGACTTTAATGCTCTGGGCTTCGGCCTTGCACCTTGGGGCGGAGACGAGAGTTGCCCAGGCTGGCAAGCAGAGCCCGCACCCGTTGGAGCTGCTGTCGACGCTCGCCCTCGTGGGTTTCATCAGCCTGCTGCTGGAGGAGTAGGGCTGGCTTTTTCTTTCGGAGTCGAGGATCCTGAGGTCTCAGGTCCTCTTGCACGGCATCCTGGATCCCTGGAGTGTTTCTGGGGTTGTCTGGGCTTGCCGTCTTGCTGTGGGAACCTCCAGGAATCGTGCGTTGAAACTGGAGGGTCCCACGAGCAGTACCCACTTTTTGCTCGAAGCAGCTTGGAATCTCGGTTCAGGACGCTCCTCCAGCCTCTGGGGGCACCCGTTTTCGGGCCTGGTGAGCTTTGTGCCACCAGGGCAACATCTGGCTCGGCCTCAGTGTGCACTCGCAGCTCTTTTGCCTTTCGGCGTTCCCGCTGGACCCCTCCCCACGTGAAGCGATCGTCTGCCTTTAAGAGATCGCACTCGTCGCTCAGTGGAGCGGTCAAGCACACCCTTTGGAGGGCCAAGCGGGTTCTTGCCTCAGGTTTTGTCAGCTTGGCGCGTGCTGTTCACAGTGCTGCCTCTTGCGAGGCGCATTTTTTCGGGTTTGCCAACCCGTGTGAGGAATATCCTGTGCTCGTTGACCTGCAGCCGAGCAGTCCTGTCGAGTTTTTCAGCGGCCCCTCGGATCCTTCGGTGAGTTTCGTCGCCTCGGGCTCCCCTGAGGCCGCTGTTCGCCACGGCTCGGCCCTTCTGGACAGTCTGGAGATTTGCATCCACACGGTTAATTGCAACCGATGGTCGACCATGAAGGAGCTCATGGCCAAGACTCCTGCGCACATTATCTTATGCCAGGAGCACAGGATGCGAGAGGAAGAGGATCTTTCACAAGCCTCGGCGTGGTGTGCTCGCCAAGGGTGGAAAGGCATCTTTACCGCGGCCCATGGGACCGCTGCTGGTTCCACGTCGGCTGGCACTTGCATCCTTGTCAGAGACTTTCTCGGCCTTCATGAGCCCCCTGGGGGGGCGGTGGTTGCTGTTGGCAGAGCGACTGCTGGCATAGTGCACCTCCCGCGAGGTGATCGTTTCGCTCTCTGCTCTGTTTATCTCCATCACTCTGAAGGGTTGTCTGAGCGTAATATCGATCTCCTGGCCAGTATAGGGGAACGTATGTCGTCCCTTTCTCTTCCGTTCTGTATTGGAGGGGATTTCAACATGGTTCCAGGCACTTTAGCCAGTTCGAAGTTCGCTGAGAAGTTGGTTGGGCTGCCTGTGGTGGCCGAGGGCCACACTCACTTTGGCGAGGGCCCCCCTTCCTCCCTTGACCACTTTGCGTTTTCGGGGGGGCTTGGAAAAACTGTCAAGAGCTGTGAGGTCGTCCTGGACACTACCTTGAGCCCCCACAGGCCGGTGCAAGTTGTGTTGCATGCTTCGTTTGGCAAGTTGAAAGGTCTTAGCTTCAGGGAGCCTCCTCCTCTCCCTGCCTCGGCTGTGATAGGACCGCGTCCTGCTCCCCCCGACTGGAGTCTAGTGCGAGAGCTTGCTGACCAGGCCTCCCAATGTGTTGCTGTTGGTGATGCTAGGGGCGCATCGTCGCTTCTCTCGCCTTGCTATGCAGCCTGGGCTGACAAAGCCGAGGCTGAGCTTGTGCCAATTTTGGGACAGTCTGTCCCCTGTCTTGGTTCGAGATCCAAGGGCCCTCAGCTTGTGTGGAAGAAGTTGGTTGGTCGTGACCATGCTATTCGGGATCCTGAACATCATGCTGCGCGGTGGCTCAGCGTCCAATATCGGGCCCTAGCTTCGCTCCTGGATTCGAACCAAGGTGACGCTCCTCAGGCGAAGTCGC